AACTGTTTACTCAATTGTCTGCATTTCCACCAACTCTACTTTTGAGGCTTCTCACTATACTCTCTGCTAAATGCCAGGCCAAGAAACCATCATCTCTTTCTTAGTTTTTAACAACAAATCTTCTAGATTCCACACCATGCTACCCTTCCCCCACCCATTCTTATTAGAGCAGGCAGCTGGAGTGCCTTCAGAAAACAGAGCTACAATCTTCATTCTACATTCTTCTGATAAAGCTTTTATATGACTTCCCACCTCAATAAGATAAAAGTTAACATTTCCCCCACAGCTGCTAAGTTCCTTTGTCACTAGACTTCCATCTTTTGCATTGCTTAATTAACTCCAGTCACACTGGCCTCATCAAAGTTTCTGTCTTAGGGCCTTTCCACTTACTGTTCTGTTTGTCTGGAAGAGAGGCCCACCTTGAGCAACTTCTAAAAACCTTCAAGTCCCTCTCAACACATCCTGCTTTCCTTCCCTTGCAAACATTTCACATATCTGCTTATTTATGTTGTGTTTGATTCTCCCATAAGCAAGGACTCTGGTCTTTCTTCATTGCTGAGTTCCTGGTGTTCACAGCAGGGCCTGTCACAGGGTGGGTGTACAAACAATGTTTGTTGAATGCATATTGTCCAGATTCTTTGATTTATACAATTAGAATTATTTTATAATGATTTTAATGATAGGCACCTTCTCTCAGGTCCCATGTGGCTAATGGAACCAGAAAAGGGGGCATGTTCCACGAATATAACTGTTGCTTACATATTCTGTGGGTTTCAAGGTGTCCACAAGTCAAGTAATAATGTAAAGGGGAAGATAAGGCCTTACCAATGATGACCCAAAAACACAGCAAAGGCTCAATAGGAAACAGAATTAGACATGAGAAATATAAATTGATAATATAAACATAATTTTAAGAAGGGGATCACTTTAATTAGGTACAAAAATAAATTAACTCAGACTTTGAGACCATTGCTATGAATTGCTTTCTCTGGATAATATGAGATTCTAGTTACTGCTTATTAAAGACCCAAGGTGTAGAAACTTTGACAAAGGGATTAAATTTTTATATGATGTCCTTACATATATTATGAATCAAAGATTTTCACTTGTCTGGTGTATGTACATGTGTGTGTATGTATGTGCATGTGTATATATACATATTCAGACATGGTCAATATTGAGATCAATCTTGAGTCACTCTCCACCATATTTTTTGAGACATGGTCTCTTACTGAGTTCCCAACCCACAAATTAGCTTTTATGATAAACTAGCTGGCCAGCAAACTCTAGGGATATGCTTGTCTCTGCCTCCTTCCCCATTAGCACTGGGTTTACAGATATACACAGTCATGCCCAACTTTTTACATGACTGCTGGGGATCTGAACTCAGGACCTCTTGTCTGCACAGCAAGCACTTTCTCCATTCCCAAGGATTCTCCTGTATTTCTAGACCTCCTATGTAAAGGAGATAGAAATTCTTACACTAAACTGAACTACAAAGCTCATCTTAAACCATTTGGAAACTCAAACACAATTCTGCAAAAATAGCTTTTCCACAATTTTGGATATTGTGGAATAATACTAGTAATTCATAAAATTGTACTTAGTGTCAATCATTTTAGATGTGCATGGATTCACAGAAAGTTCCTTGAGGTTCTTTTACTTTTCTTTTTCATTCTTTGCTTATAAAAGGTTGAAGTAACTCCTGGGAGCCAGGATACTGTTAAAATTGTTGTCTCTCTCTCTCTCCCTGCTGGGACTGTCAGGAAAGCACTTGATTTCCAGAAGAGTGCTTCAGACAGCTTCCATGCCTAATAACACAACACAAGTAAAGATGCCTCTGATTATTTGACTTCACTTATGACTTAGTACTTTTCTCTTAAAATACCTCTTTTCTCTCTGAACAGGCTGAGAGCATGGGGATGTAGAGGTGCTGTATTAGAGACACACTGTACCACTAACACAGAGGACACAGGGATGCAGAGTGAAGAGATGCTGCATTAGACAGGCTGTACCACTAATGCAGACTGTGGAAGCTAGAGCAAGACTGGAGCCAGGCTGCTTGGGGAAACTGGTTCCCTGAAGAGGCTTGTCTGCCTGCTGACAGTATATAGAGGATTGTGAGGAAAGCAACAAGTTAGGAAGGTACAGTTCTCAGGAGAAAAACAGGCAATGAGAGAAAATGCTTAGGGTGTTTTGTTTTCAAGTTTTGCTATATTGTAATAGTTTTTTCTACATTTTCTTTCCTGATAAACATCAAAATAAATACCTAGCTATAGACACATCTTAAAATAATAACAAATTAGCTAGTATACAATGCAAATCACAAAGCAGTGCACCTGTCATGCATGGGCACACATCACAGCATGCCACAACTGTAGAGCAGGCTGAGCCAGCCTCCGCTGCAGGTCCACTAAGCAGCTACATACTGCAGTGCCTGTGTTTGGAGACACGTGGAAGACTGGTATGCTGTTTAGTAATGCACATATCTGAAAAGGGATTAGGCTTTTTTAGTGTGAATGAATAACTCATGAAATGATTTTAAAATGAGCTATGCAGAGGAAGCCCCAGAAGAGGAAAAATAGTCGTGAAGCTTAAAAGTTCCAATCTTTCATTAATTGCACAGGATTCTGTGTTTTGATAGGAATCAAAATTTTGACAAAGTCAGAAGGGACTTTCATTATTTCACACTATACTGATGTTATAATCTGTCTCTTTTTTCATATAAAAATCTTGCCACTCAGAAGTAAGACTATAGGACAAAAATCAAGGCCATTTAAGACAAAATACAATGTACTATGCTCAGTTGATCAGCATAGTAAAGTTTTCTGGGAACCCCAGAAAGGCCCCTAAGAGAGACATAGTGGTCCCCCAGAGAAGGGGAAAGGGACAAGATCTCCTGAACTAATTGGGAGCATGAGGGGAGGGGAGAGGGAGCTAGAAGAAAGAGAAACTGAGAAGAGGAGGGGAGAGGAGGACATAAGAGAGCAGGAAGATTGAGTCAGGGGCAGAACAGAGGAGAGCAAGACAAGAGATACCATAATAGAGGGAGACATTATAGATTTAAAGAGAAATCTTGCACTAGGGAAATGTCCAGAGATCTACTAGGATGACTCTAACTAACAATCTAAGCAATAGTGGAGAGGCTACCTTAAATGCCCTTCTCTGATAATGAGATTGATGACTACCTTAAATGCCATCCTAGTGCCTTCATCTATTCCTGATGGAAGCAGAATCAGACACCCACAGCTAAACACTGAACTAAACTCCTGGAATCCAGTTGCAGAGAGGGAGGAGTAATGAGCAAAGGGGTCAAGATCAGGCTGAGAAAACCCACAGAAACAGCTGACCTGAACAAAGGGGAGCTCATGGACCCCAGACTGATAGCTGGAAAAACAGACAGGACTGTTCTAGACCCCCTGAAGGAGGAAGTCAGTGAGGAGGCCTTAGCAATCTATGGGGCCTTTGGTAGTGGATCAGTATTTATCCCTAGTATACAAATGGACTTTGGGAACCCATTCCACATAGAGGGATACTCTCTCAGCCTAGACACATGGGGGAGGGCCTAGGCCCTGCTCCAAATGATATGACAGACTTTAGAGATCCCCTATGGAAGGCCTCACCTTCCCTGGGAAGCAGAAAGGGGATGGGATAGAGGGTTATTGGAGGGCAGGGAAGGAGGGGAGGGAGAGGGAACTGGGATTGACATGGAAAACAAGCTTGTTTCTAATTTAAATAAAAAATAGAAAACAAAGAAAAAATACAATGTGTTATGCTCAGTTGATCAGCATAGGAAAGCTTTCTGGGAACCCCACAAAGACAAGGAAAAGGTGACATTTATTTCTGCTTGCTGTGCCAGGGAAAAGCACAAACTGGCCCAGTCCCCCAGGATAAGAACCGATTCTCCTTCGGCAACACTCATCTCATCATTCTCCCAACTTCTTGTTGGAGACATTCCAGACACATACTGCTTATGTACTGAAAATGTTCAAGGAATGAGGTCAGTCTACCAAGCCTGGGAAAGTCCCATTTACCCGCTGTCTCCCAGGATGAACACGATCAGTGTGGGTGTAAAATGCCTCTACTATTTGATGCCTCAGAGCAATGAAAACCTGGCTGTCTGACTTCAGTGATCTATAACTCAGCCTTGAGAAGCTTAGTAGACATATTAATTTGTCAGGATGCTTTTCTTATTGATCGAACAATGTTTAGGGGAACCTAAGAGTTACATAATTCAGCTAACAGACACACACACACACAGACACACACAGACACACACACACACACACACACACACACACACACACACACACACATACACACACGTCTCCAGGGGACTATTATCAGAGGCCTGGCAGAGCCTCCTGCTTGTTTAGTTCTGCAAAACTCTCCATGCAGAGAAGACAGGGAGGGGGTGGGGCAGGAGGGGACCTAACAGTTGATCTGGGAACTCAGTAAGAAATAATCTGATTAAAAAAAAAAAACTGGAATCATTTTAACAAATTCTAGCCAAGTGGTTTCTCCTCCTCCCCCAAATAGCTAATCTTTCTGGTGTGCAAGTATGCCTAAGTTCATTATAGACCATGAAATGTAACCATGGCCTCCAGAGGGTGCTGATGGTATTTTATTTAAAGTTTTCTTTATCAAGTGTAACTGGAACCCTCTGTTGTAGACACAGAACAGCGGCCGATGTGGGAAGATAAGTCATCATAGCTTAAAACAACTCGGTTAATTGGACCAGAATATTTTGTCATGAAGTCATTTGGCACTAAAATACTCTTAAGGGAAAATGTGCTTCAAGAGCCCAATACATAGAACATCCCCCAAATACTGAAAACAGGAAACTAATTAAATAAAATGTCCTGTTAGAATGTCAAAGCCTCATTTAGAAATCAGATTCTTGATGTGTATGTATGTGTGTGCTTGCCCACACACACGTGTGTGTGTGTGTGTGTGTGTGTGTGTGTGTGTGTGTGTTCCCATGCAAGAAAACTATTTACCTCTTTCTCCATTTGTAATCCTTCTGCTCTAATATTCCTTTCAAATACTTCTCTCTTTTCAGTCTGAGGGTTGGATTTTCTGTACACAAGAATGTAGTCAATTCGACATTTTCCGTCTCTAAAGTAAAGTCCGTTTGATTTGTTTCGTTCCCGCACTGTCTGTGTACAAAGAGAAAGAGACCAGTTCAAGCCATTCATGAGCCTGAGCTTCCAGTGAGTAATGTAAAAGAAGAACTAAAACTAAATGAAATTTCCATGCTGTTTTATTAAAATTTCATGTTCATAAAATGAAATATGTAAACAAGGAGAAATAAAAACTGAAGATAGAAAATGGGCAAGATGAAGACCTTTGAAAATAGAAAGTGTTGACAAAGATATGGTGCAAACTGAGAATCATTATACCATATTGGTGAGAGTGAAAACTGAAGGACTAACTTTGGAAAACATATTGTCATTATCTTGTAAAATTGAACATTTGCAAACATAAAACCCTAGAGAAATTCTTGGCAAGGCAACTAAGAGGTGTAGATAAATATTTATAATAGCATTGCTCAGAATAGTAGAAAAAATTTAAATTAGAACACACTCAGATATATACAATAAATGTCTAATACATTGTGTACTGGATATACATACATTCAGTGAAATACTATGCAACAACAAAAATGAATAAACTAAGATGCATTGAAGAAAAATAAATTTTTACAGGACAAATAAGTCAAAGAAGACTTTATAACATGATTTTCTATAAAACATAGAACAAAATAAATTTCTATATGTAGCAATACTTTTAGAGCAAGAAAATGGAAACTAAAAAAAGAAGATTGGGAGGCTGGTACCCCTGAAATGGTAAAAGGATCACAAATTCTAGAGATATTCCAGTTCTGTTTTTCTCCAGATTGTTTGATCACAGTAAAGACAAAACAAACACACAAAAAACAGTCTAAAGACTGGGTGCGATGATGAACACTTTTAATCCTAATGTTTGGAAAGCACAGGCAGGGATATCTCTATGAATTCAAGGCCAGTCTCATCTACTTTACATGTTCCAGGCCACCCAGGGCTGCATAGACTCTGGAGAGAGAGAGAGAGAGAGAGAGAGAGAGAGAGAGAGAGGTATTTTATCTTCTTTCTTATCTTTGGGTATATGTGTCCATACATGTATACGAAACAACTAAGACAATACAATATGCATTCCCCTATTTTCATACACTCTGATATTCATCTTCCATTGCATTAAAATAACAAGTTAGTAACCCTGATAATCGGGCATATAACCTGAAAGGTTCTTTCTAATTCATAAATTGGATGATAGTTCAATTGATGTTCATTTTATTATTAATTGTATACAGACATTATACACATTATTTTATAACAATCAAGAAATTAAAGAAGCAGATGCATGGGTTGGTTTTTCACACAGGCTCCTTAGATTGTACTAATGTAGGGACTTGACAGAGAAATCAAGTCTGGGCTGCTCAAGCCAGAGCCAAGTGTCTCAGGCTAATAGATCTCAGAATTGAGTCTGCAAACCCAGCCAAGTGGAAATGGGAAACCTGTCTTCTCTCAACCACAGAATACATCACTCTTCAAAAACAGAATAAAGACAAAAACCATGCTAGGCCTCCAAGACCATGCTAGAATCACACTGATGCTCAAGTACCATGCACGCAACCTCATCCTCAGCTAGGAGGAGTGGAAGGCCTGTGCCTCAGGTTTCAGCACTGACATTGTCAACCTGTAAGCATTGTTTGGCTCTTGCTTTACCACATACTTGGGAGTCACACTGAAGAGGCACCTTTGAGCAGTTATCCACCAAACAGAAACCAGCACCTGCCTTCAGAAGCAGGGCATTGAGTTGGGGACACAGAGACAGGGTGCTGCTTAGGACCATGAGACTCTGGGTTCAATTCTGAATGCTACAATCAATGCTACAACAAAATGCAAAACAACAGCAGGACTTTCTTCAAGAGTGCCAGGAGGAAGCCGAGCTCTGACTGAGCAGTGACCTGTTCTACTTCCAGCAGAACCCTAACCTTTCTGAAACTACCACTTTTCCAAAAGGGAAATAAATACGTTGCTTTTGAGGGTCCTTTCAATGTCCCTTCATGAGGCTCCTATTGATGGGGATGTCCTCCTATATATATGTTTCTCTTATTGGTTGATGAATAAAACACAGATTGGTCAGTAGCCAGGCAGGAAGTATAGGTAGGGCTACCAGACAAGGAGAAGGCTGGGGGAGAGGACACAGAGAAGAGCCTCCAGGGAGATGCCATGCTGGGAAGACAGGATGCTGGGTATTCTCTGGTAAGATAAAGCCATGTAGAAATACACAGGTTAGTAGCTATGGGTTAATAATTAAAAAAGAGCCAACCAGTAAGAAGCCCGAGCCATGGGCCAAACAGTTTATAATTAATATAAGCCTCTGTGTGTTTATTTGGGTTCTGTGGGACCAGGCAGAAAAGAAACTCCATCTACATACTATAATGCATCCAAAGTGTATTGATTTTTTCTTAAAGAAAAACAGGGAAGAAAGAGAGAAACTGTGGGACTATTTGTGAGAGAGGTCTACGAAGCTTGGTAGATGTTACTAGTGTCCCCTGTCCAAAGGTGTCATCCTTTCAATGAGTAATTGGCTTGGAAAGTGAAGGCAGAGGGTAGAGGCAATCAATGGTTGACTTCACCTCCACATATCTGTCACTTCTGTGTGGCACATATTAAAAGAAATCTTAAATCTCATTAAGGTATGGCCTGAGCAACAGTGAACACCCATACAAAATACAACAAAGCCTCCCATTTATAGAGGAGGCAAATGGAAACTCACAGAAACCTCAGATAACAATGTCCTGAAAAGCTGGTGTGTTTTACATCACTAGTTTGTAGACTCAGGGGTTTTTTATTAGGAACTCCATCCTTGTCCAGTTTCTTTCCATTAGTTAGGAAAACTTAGATGCATCAAAGAATGATGGGCAGTTGGTGAAAGTCTTTCTCTGTATAGATTAAACATGTCTAGATGTGAGAATGAAAGTACATGGTCAACCTTTAAATTTTGAGCACAAGTCCATTTTAGATCCTTGAGATTTGCCAGAGCCATGGAACAGCACAGACCTATAAAACATGCTTCCCAGGAGCCTGCAGTTTGATGGGATTCAGCTCTGATTGGTCTGTTGGAATGCCTCACAGGTTCCCACTTGAAGCTTTACTCTTCCAGCAAGTCATGTAAACTCTTACCTCTCCCCCTGCTTCTAGTCTGCTGGCATCCTCTGAAGTACTGGTCAGGTTTCCAGGGTGTAGGAGGGAATCGTCATCTTTGCAAGGGCTGTTGACAGCCTCTAATTCATCAAAAAGAATATTGACATCCTTGGCCACTAGAAGCAAAGCACATACATTAAAGTGGGCTAAGAAACTGGACTGGATGAGAACACAGTGAGGGAGTTGTCCCTCTTTGGCTTTCTGTGCACACAGTTTCAACAAAGCCTTGAGTGACAGGTTCATCACTTCCTAAGAAAAAAAGATGTCAGACAAATAGGTGACATTAGTTCACACAAAGTAAGTGAAGCACTTTCATGTCATAAACATAATTTGTCTTCCAGAATAGCAAAAGGTTGATTTATTCAGATCGCCTTTATATAGCTGTTTAGAGAAAGGTACTTTCATTTGGAGCTACTAAGAATGCATTCTCCAGGTTGTGGAGTTGTGCTTCCTAATGCTATATTTTCTTACTTAAGAGGCATGCAGCTTGACAAGGCAACCCATAAAAGTGCCATTTGTATGGCTTAGTGGCATTTATTTATTTCATTATTTCTTCCTTTATAATCTCTCTAATAAATTCAAAAGTGAAACATACAGTTACATTTCCTGGCTTCCTTCTTCCTCTAATGATAAATTGAAAGAAATGAGCCATTCAGAGGCTCCTCCTGTAGACTATGTTAACAACCCAACAATACACAAAGAGCTGACATTACGGGAGACTACAAAGTTCAAATACACTTTGCAGCACACCATGAAGAGAAGGTGAGCCCTCCCAAAGGAGTGGACAGCCAGGTCTTCTTCACCACCTTAAATTATGGCTCAACATTATAATTATTTTTTTATTTTGATGCTTTAAAAGTGCCCAGGGGTCTATAACTGGCCATAAGGTGTTGAATAAAATGATTTGGGGGGACACTGGATTTGAGTATTCATTTTTTGGTTCATAAATGTTTTAGACATGTTCACATGGTGTGTCATGTATATGGTTGTGTAACAGGCATATTCTGGTGACTAAAAGTGATGTGGCCCTCTCTCTTTGTAAATGCTCCTAGAAATGGGATCAGTACCTGTTCCTGGTGCTTAGCTGGCTTTTGGGAGCCTGTTCCCCATGCTGGATTACCTTGCCCAGCTTTGACACAAGGGGAGGAGCTTAGTCCTGCCTCAACTTGATGTGCCATGCTTTTTTCAAGCCCATGGGAGGCCTCTCCCTTTCTGAATGGAGACTGAGGAGGAGTGGAAGGGAAGGGGGACAGAGGGGAGGGGAGTGGGAGGACTGACTAAAGGGAGGTCAGGAGGGAGGGGAAACAGAGGTCAGTCTGCAAAATAAATGAAAATTAGCATTTTAAAAAGAGTTAAACTATAAAGATGTGGCTCTTTGTCTTCATGGAAAAAGGAAACAGACCAAATAAATGCAAATAGCAAGTAATTAGAAAAGAAAGGATAGAGTCAGGCACAGAAGAGAGAGATAATCTATGTAGTTGGGATGTCCTGATTCTAAGCCTATAGCTAAACACATGACTTTATGTAATTCTTTTGTCCTTTTGAGTCTTTCACCTGTAAAGCAAAAACGGATGGAAATAGGAATGAAGTTAACACTTTTAGCTTACTGAGGAAGGCTGGGTTATTATCTTCCTGTAAGGTTGACCAAATTTCTAGAACTTCTAAATATGTTACTTTACATCAATGCAGACTTCCAGATATGTTTCTATTAAGGATCATAAATGGTCGACACTTCTCCTGGATTACACGGTAGGCTCCATGACATCACAGGACACTCAGAATCAGACAGAGGAGGTGGAAATGCTATGCTGCTGGCTTGGAAGAGAGGGCAGAGGCATAGACCACAGCAAGTAGATGTCCTCCAGAAGACTGCAACACCAACAAAGCACACTGTCCCATGCAACCTCCAGCAGGAGCACGGGTACCAACACTTTGATGTCAGGTTCTGACCTCTAGAGCATCAGATAACAGCTGAGTGGTTTGAAGAAACCAAGTGTGTGGCAATTCAGCATACCAGTGCTGATGAATGTCACCATTGGTATTTAGACTACAAAGACTACAGAGACGAAAACCTCATGGTCTTTCCACATAGCCAGGCTCAAAGACAGGAGCTGAAGCAGCTGATGCTTTTGAAGATGCAATATGTGCAGTGCTACAAAGACAGATTGTCTGACCACCCTGGTTAGAGCTGCTCCCCCTTCCATGGTCATATTCTTCTTACTTCTTTCCCACCACTCAACACAGTCCATGCTTCCCTTCTGTATTCATGTTTACATTTGCATTAGTGGCTTTCCTTATCAGAGTGCAAGTTCCACAGTAGTGTGGAATATCCCTTTACACTATGTGAAGATGTGCCACTGTGATAGGTTTAACAAAGAGCTCGATGGCCACTAACTAGGCAAGAAGAGGATAGGAGGGACTTCTGGAGACAGAGATCTGGGAAGAAGAAAGGCAAAGTCACTGGTCAGATGGAGAGGAAGCAGGAGGGGGAATACAGAGTAAAGGTAACTGAGCCATGTAAAAGAATGTAGCTTTAAAAAAATGAGTCAATTTAAGTTGTAAGAACTAATTAGGAACAATCCTAAGTTAAAGCCGAGCTTTTATCATTAATAATACATTTCTGTGTCTTTTTTTTTTCTTTGTGGGATGGAAGCCCAAAGAAAAATTTGTCTACATATGGTGCCCACATCAGGCCACAAATATCCTCATAAAGTCTAAGAAAGTCTAAAAAAAGTTTGAAACACAGAGTCAAATGTGTCTTCCTGGTGACCATGGTCTTTTAGGTAGGCTTGGTGGCATACAGAGACACAACGACTGGCCACTGCTTAGATATTCTAGGCCTGTAGGCTGAAGATGGATGATCCAACGTTGCTGAGAAACCTTGGGGTAACTGTCCATGTAGCCAGATGACTCTGTCATTTCTAAAGTTTTGGAAGTTGCTTTCTCTGCACTCTCTGTTTACTCAAGTAATATTTTATCCTTCTTGGGCCTCTGGTGGGGGTTGAAAACTACTAGATAGTTACAGTTTTATAGCTTTCCTTGTTACCAAATTCAAAAAAGAATCTTACATAAGAGATGTAAAGTTTATAAGATTGAAAAACATAAAAACTTAAGTTGTTTATCTAAAAAGATGTTTTAAGATCTAAAAAGATATTTTGGGGATGGTAATACAAGTTATGACAAAAATGGTTTAGGTATAAGACTCTGTACTAAGATAGGATAGATAATGGAATATTTTCTCTAAATGTGCCAAATGCAAATGGACTCGACATGGTAAATATAATTCTTAGTTGGTAATTGTTATTATTGTATATAGTTTTACTGTGTTGTAGTTAAAACCTTTCTTTAGACAAAAGGGGGAAATGTGGAATATTCCTTTACACTATGTGAATGTGATGGTTTTCATAAAGAGCTGAATGGCCATTAGCTGGGCAGGAAGAGGTTAGGTGGGACTTTGGGGACAGAGAGAGTCTGTGAAGAAATTAGGCAGAGTCACCAGCCAGATGGAGAAGAGGCAGGATGGGGAGTGCAGAGTAAAGGTAACTGAGCCACATAAAAGAACTTAGATTTTAAAATCTGGTTACATGGGTGGCATGGGTAGGGGATAGCTATTCCTGAAGTCATAAGGGCAGGAAAGCAGCCCTTGTGCCCCAGCAGCTGCAACACTCAGGAGAGCAGGCCCTGCACCTCACCTGAGAGGCACAATAGAGCTGACTCTGTTGGCAGAGGTGGGGGTGAGCCAACCACAAAGTAGGGAGCAAGGGAGAGTATGTGCAGCTAAGCATGTAAGCAGGGGACACTGTGGCCAGGTATACCCTCCAGAGAAACAGAGGAGGGGGATTTGCAGCATGTCAGCATTGCCCCTGATATTTTCATCTTTAACTACAGGTCAGGTTTTAGGAACAAAGTACAATATTCTATATACAAACTTATGCTGTCTCCTTAAAGAGAAACTTAAGTCTTAGGTTACAAAAATTACTAATTAAAAATAAACTATTTGTTTAACAAGTATTTTAAGTTCCTACTATGTCTAGGAACTATATTAGGTTAGGGGTTGGAGCTGAGGCCCTGGACATCAGGGGCATGGATCCTTGCGATAGAGAGTTCCATCTTCTAGATGGAGTGGGAGTAAGGCTTCTCCAGCCACGGCTTGAGCCTTGCAGAGATGACATGCATTTATGTAAGATCACTTGATAATGGATTTCATCACCTCCCTTAAATGTTTTTTTCTCAAACAGAAAATATTTGATAATCATCTACATAGTAGAATTCTGCTATTAGGCTCATTAAGTGAGGAAGAGAGCCAAAATGCTCTGGGGACTCAATTAAAAATAACAAGAGGGAGAGGGAGAGCAACAATTGAGTGGGATCATAGTCAGGGATCGGCAGCAGGGTCAAACTGATTAAGAGTTGTGTGAACAGACCTGGACAGCAAGGAGAGTCAGGGCAGGCGGACTGGTCTGTTTGGGGAGAAAGGGAGACACTGAGAAGATTCTCTATTTCAGAAATTAGCAATGCAGCTCAAGGAGGGGTGGTGGTCACAAATAGAACATCAGAGACATATACATAACTGAGCAAGAGGCAAGGATCGCAAATTGCCTGGGATATCAAATACCAGCTATGGGGTCTGAGTCAAACATTCCACTCAGCACAAAGAGAAATTGTAAACAACTGCTTCTTTCTGTTCCAAGCCAGGGCAGGGACATAGAAGAGAAACCAGAGGACCAGGGATATCCTGGACCTTCCATCAGGCAGACCGAGGCTGTCTATATATGATGAGAAAGCTAATGATGCCACTCATCAAATATTTACAATTACTTCAACTGCTTCTCTGGGGGAAATCATCTGGGGTGTTCAGCATTAGTGATTATTAATTCTCTAAGGAAAAGAGATCACAAATGTATTGCAAGGATAATAATCAGATTAACTAATTATGAGTTATGAGCCATGTGTTTGTTGAGTCAGCGTTTAGCGTTAGGTGGTAGAGGAGGCAAGAATGGGGAGTCTGCTCACTCACACTTCCAAGCAAGAGGATGACATTGGGAGACAATGTTATAAAAGCAATTTAAAAAAAAGAACAGTAAATGTGTTTGAGGAACAGTCTAAAAGGAAGTGGGGTATTAAAAAAATCAAAGAACTCAATTCATTGAGCTTTAATTTTCCAATGCATCAGGATAACCTCATGTTGTCACTTCAGTACTTTAATCTTAGTACTTTGCACTGGAGATAAAACAAGCTGAGATTATAGGTCATAGAGGAAGCTTCGACAGGCCCAGCAGCACAATCCCACTGGCTATATTTGTTCTGCAGAGTGCCAGTTCATTATGCTATTTTTGCCATAAATTGCACATTATTACATCTGAAACACCGGATCCTGAAAGCGTTGCCCACTGATTCCAAAGCACCATGTGGAAGCATAAAGAAGGACACTCTGAGAAGCAAGTCAGAATAATATAAAAAAGAAAAAAATGGTTTATGTCTCCATTTTAACACCAGACTGTTTATAATAAATCTATTTTTATGTCTGCACTGTGTTTTCTGCCATGTAGAAAACTGACATTGGAGCTAGCAGATAGGAGATCTCAATATTTGTTTCAAAATCTAAAAAAAAAAAAATCAGCTAATTGTCAGCATATCAATAATTACATGTGTATATATTATTTCTTTGAGAATTGTGTGTATGTTTTACATATCCAACACCTCAGTTCCTTCCACATCTACTCTCCTTCCCTAACCACTTAATTTGTGTCCTCTTTTATTTTTTTTTTACCCATTAGGTCTACTCTCTATTGCCCATATATTCTTGGGTGCGTACCTTCCCCTGGATCATAGCCGGTAAACCAGAGGCTGCAATCTTAGAGAAAACTAACTCCTCCTTTCCCAGATGCTAACAATTGCTGGTAGCTCTTCAGTTATGGATGAGACTTTCATGCTGACCGCCCCTCTCCATGCTGGGAAAGTTATTTTTCTTCTTCTAATTGTCTTACTAATGCTGTTTTAAAATATCAGCTTTTTAGAATTAGAGATTAAGAACCTTCTGCCCTAAATGGGAGGCACAGAAAGGCAAGGAGGCTACAGATCAATGAAACTTCCACCTACTGCAGCAGAAGCTGTGTTGCATCTGCAGTAGCTCGAGGGAGAGGTATCAGGAAGTTAGTCTTTCCTCTCTGTTCTTCTATGTAAACATTAAGCCCTTGGAAGCTCCTGCTCTCAAAGAGAAACAGTAGCAACATTAGGTGATAGGAAAATCTGGGGACAAAGGAATTCAAGGGATCTGCTTGTCCATTCAGGAAGACAGTGTGGGCCTCCTAGAACTGGAGTCATGGGCATTATGAGCCACCATTGGGGTGCTGGGAACCACACTCAGGTCCTCTGTAACAGTACCAAGCGCTTTTAAGTGCTGAGCCACCTCTCCTGCACCACGCCATGATCATATTTTGAACTCCTATAAAAATGCCCACCAATTTGTATTCCTCTATTCATAAGATATATTCATAAAGATGAAATCATTTTAAACTAGCCAAACAGCTAGCAACATTAGACATAGACACCTGATGTGTCTTTACCTGATGTCTGCTAATGACCAATTACTGTAAAAAAAATACTTCCTTATAAACTATTACTTCATTTTGACGCAGTTTAATTCAGTTCTCGAAACATATTGATTAAGTCTATCTCCAGCATTTATATGGAGCCAGATTTTGTCAGTGGAGACATTACTTTTAATTCTTTGAGAACTATACAATTTTTCATCCTTCATATCAAATGAAATAGTTACATAATTTTATAACTTTCCATGAAAAGCCATTTTCTGTCCCCTGTCTATTAATTTGACTTTTCATCCTCGTGGGAAATTTTTTTCTTTTGTACTCACTAGCTAATATGAAGGATTGACCATCCAGAACAAATAACTTGTCCTCATATATTCTTAACTAAAACCACTTCTTTCTGGGCCGGAGAGATGGTTCAGTGTTTAAGAGTACTGCCTGCTCTTCCAAAAGTCCTGAGTTCAATTCCCAGCTCATAACCATCTGCAATGAGACAAATACAGCTTCATCTGCATCTCAACATGTTTAAATTCAGAGCAGAACTCATTCATGGAGGGAATAAATGAAGGCTACAGCAGTCTCCATTCTAATCTGGCATGCAACTTTTGTCCTAATTCTTTGTTAATTTTCCCATCTTCAATTATGCCACAAAAAGCACTAAACCATTCATTATCTTATAAAATAAAGAAAACAGTACAATGATGGGGAAAGGACTAAAAAATGATGAGAAATATTCATAAGAAATTTAGCATGATGAGGTCAGAAATACAGCACTTCCCTGGTATTTGGAAAGCCCTGGGTCTAATCCCCAGAGGCACATACACAGAGAGAAATTGGTACAAAAAATGTAATGCCTCTAATTTAAAAGTAGAAGAAAATGTAGTTGTTTTTCCTGAAATGCTCTTCAAATATAAAGACTTCCAGTTCAGCATCACATGAAAGCAACTGATGTCATCATTGAAAATTCGCTGTTAATGCAACAAATGACAATCATTTGCTCAGTGCTTAATCTATAATTTAGCAAATGTGCTGATCAAAATAGGACTCTGAGTGACAGTTACAGAAGACAAAACAGTGGAAAGAGAGCCCTCTGCCTGATAATCAATATGTGCAGAAAGGAGGGGCTCACTTCTGGGACATGGTCTTTTATTGATGACTCCACACATTTGTTTTAGACAGTATGGTTTTGATTTTGGCTTAGTGGGCCAACATGTAGTTATTCTTGCATTGGAGCACAAGAGCAATATTTGGATTTGTTAAAAATGAGTTTTTCTTTGGCTATAATTGAACTGAAGCTATATTGTAAACATACGAAATTGTCCAAAGACCCCAATATCTTGTGGCTCAGTTTCACAAATTAACCCCAATTACAGTGTCTCTTTTTGTCTCAAAATTATTTTGTTCAGTATCTTTTTTTACAACAAGGATTGATTAGTCTTTTGAGTTTTGAAGCATCTAAGCTGCTAGTTCTTTTACCCTTACCCAGTATTATAATATTTTTTTCCTCTTGTGAATTTAAAATTTGAGTGAAACTTACTTTCTTGTATTGCATTAAGAATCTCTGAAAAGTCCACGTCACTGTTTGGGCCGTCGGGCAGGATTTGCATATCCAACTGGTGGCCTTGTAAATCCACTCCACCTTCTAAAGAAATGAAAGATACCCATGGAGTTTGCACTGGTTATATGAGGGCCCAGAATTAAGGCCCTGAGGAGAAACAACATCAGCATCTAAAGCGAACAGCTAGTTGGCTTGCTAGTGATCCCTGTCTTAGACAACTGACTTCAGAAGGGGGAAAAAAAGAGAAAGACACACATCAAGTCACTATGTATCAAAACTGTTCCTGCTGAAAACCAAAACAGCTACTTTAAATAGTGCAACATGTTTCATAGTATTTATTGGCATTTTTCCTGGCTAAAACAAAATCTTAGCTTCCAATCATGGAAACTTAAAATTATTCTCATCTTTTCTATGTAGATAAAATGTGGCACTTAACAAAACACTCTCTGATGTCATTCTCTTCAAAATTATACTAATTTATTCTTGTGGAAAGATTTGCTATTCAGAATATGACAGAAAACAGGGTATCAATATTTTCCTGTTCACAATGAGATTTCTCAGCTGCAACATTTATTCTAACTGTAGCAGGATCCTTCAATCTATGTTACAAAATAATTAAGCCTCTTGTGGGAGGTTTGTGGGATTATCTGATTGTGTTCTAGAGGAGTTTTTTTCTTTTTTTTTTTTTTTGCTACTCCACACACCCACGGAACACTTAGGCCAAAGAAAACAGGACACCAAAAAGTAGTTTTATCATTAACAACGTTTTAAAAAATTATCCTTTTCTCACATAATGCATCCAGACCACAGCTTCCCCTCCCTCCACTTCTCCAAGAATCCATCCCCCACCCCTGCTCATCTCCCTCTCCACTTTCCTCACCCATCTTCTCCCAGAAAAGAGCAGGCCTCCCAGTGGTATCAACTGAACATGACACAAGATAAAATAAGACCAGGCACAAACCCTCACAGTAAGGCTGGTTGAGGGAACCCAGTAGGAAGAAAGAGGTCCCAAGAGCCAGCAAAAGAGTCAGAGACACCCTCACGCCCACTCTTAGGAGTCCCACAAAAACACCAAGCCAACAATAATAACATAAATACAGAGGACATAGCACAGACACATGCAGGCTCCATGATTGCAACTTTAGTCTCTGTGATCCCCCATAATCCTTGCCTAGGTGATTTGGCAGGCCCTGCTCTCCTCCAATGCTCTCCTGTGTCCTCAACTCTTATGGCTCCCACAATTCCTCCTCCCCCTCTGCTGAGGGGTTCCCAGAGCTCTGCATGGAGGGACCCAATAGAGACCAGGAGGAAGAGTTGGCTTAGCCATTAAAGGCTAGGCTCTCAACCAAACAACACTTCTTAATAAGAACATTTTTAATTTTCAGAATCTACAAAGTCTAAAATACATAGGTAACATGGTGAATAAAATTTAAAAAAAAAATGTGTGTGCATGTGTTTTAAAGAAACAATCTTTTTCTGTCTATAGGTAGGTAGACAGATGATAGATAGATAACCGATAGATGATAGATTTTTGGTTGTGAGCCTAGCCTTTAATGGCTGATCCATCTCACTGTGACTATTCAGTTTCATATAAAATCCAGTTACATTCCAAAGACTTTACAATAATAAGCCATAGCCTCTGTCTTACAGAATGCTCATGAGTTACTTAATATAGCACAAGGTGAGGCTTAGGAGGGAGTCTTAGAACAGTGCCTCATGCAGGGCCTGCCATCAGCAAATGTGAACTGGATGAAAGGATGAGGTTGTGAAGCGATTATGAGACACAGTGGAGCAAAAGCCTCGTCTGAAATTGAGGGTTGATGCATACAGCTTCATATAGGTAGCATGAGGATTAAAGGAACTAATATAGAAGCTCTTTGCTGTCACAGTCAGAATTTAGTAAAGGAGGTCACTTGTGTTATCATCCATAGTAATTCATTAAGGCTAGACTGTTATCTATGCAAAGTATTTCTACATATGGAATAGCAGAAACCCTAGTGATCACCCCTTTAACTGTCAGGGAATGCTGTTTGATATAAACCCTGCAATGAACTTTTCAGATTCATGCATGCAATTGCTTCATTGCAAAGTCTCAAGTTACCCGTGGGACAGCTTCTCGGGACAAATAAACATTCTTCAGTTATCCCACAATGAAAACAACACATTTATCTTTTCCTTCCTCAGTCAGATACTTCAGATGGTCAGAGAGAAGTTCTCATGCCTTTCAACCTCTACTTTATTCTATTCATGGACAAACACCCCCCTACTGGGGATGGCAAAATAACAATTTAGTACTGCCTTTTTGTCATGGAGACCACCAAGAATGCAGGTATAGATAAAATATCCCAAGTATAATAAAGGAGAGTACACATTAATATGATTGAGAAGAAAGACAGGAACAATATATGTCAAGAGTACAGAAGTCAGCTACAAAAATTTTAATCATTACATTTTAGTATTAGTGTTTTGCTTCTCACAACAAACATATGACATGCTTAAATACATTTAAATGTTTTGGACTGGCCCAGTGAAACGTGATAACTATTTCAACTTTAGAATTCAGACTTAGAGCATAGACTACAAATACTAAATTATAGGTATTATTCAATTGAAAATATGCCCTAAATAAATGCAATTTTTAAAAATGTATGAACAAAATGACTCCAAATGGCAGTAGGTAACATGCTCCTTGTGGTGTAACTTAAAATCAAGCTTGAAACCCTTAAGACAGAAGGCATCCTTCCCTGCTACTCTACAACACACACAATATATAATAATAATGTGGAGCCTTCAACAGCAAGCCTCATGCCAGCTCCAAACAACAAAGACTTTCTTAACAGAGAGAGACCAGTGCACCAGGATGCTTTCCAAGGAATTTCTGAAAGAGAACCTCTCCCATTTTATCATTCATTGTCTGATGGCCAATGGCTTTATTATATAAAATGCAATATGTTTACTTTGTGCTTATTTGTTTGTTAATTTACCTATTAGTATTCATATTGCTTTAATATGATTACTATGAAGTTAAAAGTATGAGACCCTCATCACAGCTGCTAATAAATTAACTTGGGATGAAAATAACAGAGCACGGAAGTATCTATGACATAAGATCAGAAGAACAAACAGATTCAAAGCAAACATTTTTCAAGTTATTATTTTATTTTATATGTATGAGTATTTTTGCTTTGCTTGCACGTCTGTGAACCAGGTACATGCCTGGAACCAGAAGAGGCCAGAAGAGGGCACTGGGTCCATGGGACAGGAGTTACAGATAGATGTAAGCTGGCATTACTCTTAACTTCTAGCTGAGCCATCACTCCAGTTCCTCAAATGAAACATTTTTAAAAATTATAATAAATATGAAATAAATACAAAATTATGGAGACTAAACTAGTTAAAAAGAGAAACTAAAAATATTCCTCAAAGATGTGAAAAAAACTGAACAATTTTAACAAACTAAAAGGCTGTAAAGTCTGAAATATCTCCAAATTTGGGTTTTGGTCTTCACATGCCTGATGGATAGATGTGGTTCTACCTCAACTCTTCATTATGATTCTTCTGCCTGAATATGGTTGAACACATAGCCAGCAAAAGTAACTTTGTTACAGCATTCACATTTAATAAAAGGTTGTCAGCTGGGTAAGCAATGAGTTAAACATTCACTCACGATTTGGACCTAGCTTGGATTATAGCTAAATGCTTATATACAAGATGATCAAAATCTGAACTTCAAACATGGCATCTCACACCTGTAAAGGTCCCATCACATTCTGTTTCAGAATTCTTTTTCTAGACCTGATATGTGAATACATACAGTGTTTCCTTCTATTGACCTTATGAAGATGTTTATCCTTTATATATGTCCTGTAAAACTAAGGTTCATAGCACAGAATGAAGAAATCAGAACACATGGGGGATGCTACTTGTCTTCGTAAAGATTTGTTCCAACACTGTTAGCATCCTCAATGGAGCTGTAATGCACTGTAGCCTCAGGGCACATTTGGTCCATCCTTTATCTGCAGTATCCAGAACAAGGCATTGACTAGAGCTGTTGCTCAGTTGAGGCCTTTTAACTGCTATTTTATCTCATTAGTGACAGTAACAGTTACAGGCTACAAAGTACTCTGGTTTTCCTATCCCTACCTAAACCACGAGATGTAAGAAAATGCAACAAGGAAGCCTGCTCCTTAAAAAAAAAAAAAAAGTGGAAAAGAAGGTTTCTTAATAGGTTATATATAGAAAGATACATACAAAAGCATTTATTTTCACTTTGTAAAATCTCTTCTATTTTTTATTTATTTATTTATTTTTATTATATATACAGTGTTCTGCCTTCAAGCCAGCAGAAGGCACTAGATCTCATTCAAGGTGATTGTGAGCCACCATGTGGTTGCTGGGAACTGAACGCAGGACCTCTGGAAGAATGGTCAGTGCTCTTAACCGCTGAGCCATCTCTCCAGATTCTCTTATTTTTGAGACACACACATACACACACACTCATACACACACACACATACACTCTCACACACATATACATAAAATATGTTCATAACTACACCACCTAATTCCCTACTCAAATTTGAAGATACACTTCAACACACCTTTCTCTGAACTGCAAATCTAAGAATGGTCAGTACTGCTTATATGTGCATGGATGTGGTGTCATTCATTGCTGCATGGAAAACGCCCCAGGGGCCACATCCTCAATAAAGAACGATTCTCCCTTCCTTGACTGCTATCTATTGCCAATAACTCCTCAGTAAGGGGTGGACCTGGAGATCATCTACCCCACATATGCCAGGATTTGGGGATGGCCTGATTTTTTGTAGTGGCCACAGACACTATAAGATCATGAGGGTGATGGCCATCCAGGGATAGCATTTCACAGCGTTCCTATTCCTTCAGCTCCCTGCTCTCTGAGCCTTGGTGGTGGTGGATTCAATATTGATCAATGTTTCCATAAGGCTTTTCCATACATCCTTAGTGTTGGTTAATTCACTGATTACCCTCTTTTCTCCTCTACCTCACAATTTCCATCCCTATTTAATCCTTAGTATTCTCGCCTCCTTCCTCTTTTCATGTGCGTTCTTTATCCTTTGACTTCTTTTTTAAATTGTGTTGGGAGATAATAGCTTCCATATCACTTTTTATAACCAACTCACCCTCTGGTTTCCCCATATTCCCACTCCCTCCTACAGTGACCAATCCTCTCCTTGGAATTCCACCTCATTATTGTCCTCCCTCACTTACCATGTCCTCTCCCCCTTTCAAAAGTCCCATTCTACTTCCCTGGTTTCCACTTGTGTCCCAAGTTATCATTACGAAATGAAAGACTTAAATCTGGGATCTGTATATGAGAGAGAATAAATGGCATTTGTCAATCTTGGCCTGAGATACCTCACTCAGTATAATTGCTTCCAGTTTCATAAATTTACCCTGGAAATTCCATGAGTTCACTTGTCTCTGCATATGGGCCATGTTTTTCTAATCCACTCATCTGTTGATGGACAGCTACCTTATTCCATGTCTAGCTATTGTGAATAGGGGAGCAATGACTATGGACACGTAAGTGTCTCCGTAGTGGGATGTAAAGTCTCATGAGTATATGCCAAGGAATGCAATGTCTGGGTCACATGGTAATTCTATTTCTATTTTGTAAGAAACTTCCAGACTGGTCTTCAACGTGGTTATATTAGTTTGTTCTCTGACCAATAAATTATAAGTGTTTTCTCTGCAACATATCTATTACAGCACTTATCATTGTGTTTTTGATGATAGCTGTTCTGACTGGAGTGAGGTAGAATCTTTTTTAGCATAAATTATTATTTGGGACCACATTCTTTTAAACATATGCTTGCTTATAGTGTTTCTCAGCTCAACTTTCTCTTTAAAAAAAGGTATAAAAGGTACTTTTAAAAAAGTGCTATACTGTGTATTTCAATTTCTGGTTTTTACTAGGATGTGTATTTAGATGATGACGATGAGTATAAATTTTATACTGATAACTGGAAAAGCAATGACACACACACACACATACACACCTAAATCCATCAATACAACTTGCGCAGTTTGCATGTTTTCTCATGTAATAATTGCTACTCCTATAATTATGCACACAGATATACATTCCTCAATATATAAATTCTAGTCATATCATTATTATATTCATAAAGATTAAATGTAAGTCTTCGAAAATACTCTGGTTTACCAAGCAACAGGCTCCTACAACAGTCACACCAAAAAATGTCTACTTAGTTGTCAACTTTAAAAGTGATGCTTGAACTGGCTTTATGGAGCCCATTTTCTTTGGAGGAACACCTTGCTCAGCCTAGACATAGAGGGGAGGGCCTTGGTCTTGCCTTAAAGTGATGTGCCACACTTTGTTGACTCCCCAGGGAAGCCTTATATAACCTCTCTGAGGAGTGGATGGGGGATAGGCTGGGGGGAAGGTAGGGAGGTGAGGAGAGGGGAGGGAGTGAGAACTGGGATTGGAATGTAAAATGAGAAAAGATTGTTTTAAAACAAAAAATGATTAAAAAGTAATTCCGTGAAATGCTTTCCTAAAGTTTGTATACATTTTAAAATTATTTCTTTTATTTCTAAAACTACAATATAAATGTCTCCTTCCCTCCCTCCAAACTCTTCCTTCCCTCCCAAACTCTTTGCTTTGTTTCAAATTCATGGCCTCTGTTTTATACACACACAAGCACATGTGTGTGCATACATACACACATTCCTAAATATATAAATATAACCTGTTCAGTCTGTATAATATTACTTGTATGTATGCCTTTAGAGCTGACCATTTGGTGTGACAATAATTAATATTCTTCCCATTTATCAATGACAAGCAAACTGAAAAAGAATCTAGGGGAACAATCCCATTCACAGTAGCCATACACACAAAATAAAATATCCCCAAATGAAAAGATACCCACCCCTCATCAGGGAAACTTCTCTCTGCATCAGGGTACCACTACAGAAAACCACAACCAATCAAATGAGGAGATGTGAACCCAGTCCCAATGGATATATCTACAATGCAACCCTGTTCCTCAGGCTCCAGGGAACATTGAAGAAGAGGGGCTGAAAAGATGCAAGCAGCAGAGGGGCGGAAGTTTCCAGTGGGGAATGTCAGAGGTTACACCAGTTTGGTTGCCTAAATATAAGCTGAACAAGGACACAATGGATGGGGAAAGCCCGTGAAGGCTCAGCCCTACACCAAAAACTATTGACAAATAAGGGATGCTGGGAGCCTGAGGTGGAATCTTAAAGTAGTTCTAATCTACATTTTCCTGATGCCCAAGGATGGTAGGCACTTTGTAAAATGTTTCCTAACCATCTGCATTTATTCTTTTGAGAATTTTCACTTCAGTCCCATAGCCCAGTTTTAATTGAGTTGTTTATTCTCTTAATGTTTAGGTTTTTTTTATGTTCTTTCTGCATTCCAGACATCAATCTTTGTCAGATGAATAGCCGGCAAATATTTTCTCCATTCTGTGAGCTGTCTATTCACTCACTTAACAGTTTCCTGTGTTGTACAAAAGCTTTTTTAAATTCACGAGGCCACATTTGTCTAATGTTGGTCTTATTTCCTGTGATATTAAGTCATTCTCAAAGCCTTACCTGTGCCTATAAGTTGAAGTGAGCACTCTGCTTTTTTCTAGCAATTTCAGGGTACCAGGTCTTATGCTGAGGTCTTTGATCCGCTTAGAGTTGAGTGTTATGAATGGTGAGAAAACAGGACCCAGTACTCCTCATGCTGAAATTCAATTTTCCCAGTACCATTGAGGGCACTGTCCTTTTTTCTTTTAAAATGTACACTTTTTTGGCATTTTCCTCAGAAATCAAGTGACTATAGTTGCTTGGACTTCTATGTGGGTCCTCAATTCTACCCCATTGATGTATGTTTCTCTTTGTTTTGTTTTGTTTTTTTTTTATTTTGTGCTAGTACCATTTGTTTTTATTACTACAGATCTGAAATACTGCTTAAAATCAGGTGTGGTGACACTTAGCCCCACATTCTTTTTGTTCAGGATTGCTTTAGTAGCCTTTACTAAGTCTAAATTTCATCAAGTTATAACTACAATTTCAAAGTGCCAAGCGATTTCTAGTGAAAACCAGTAGCTGTCTTTTCTCAATCTCAGCCTTCTTCCCTTAAAATAACTACTTATGAGTTTCTATTGGGTATTTACACACACACACACACACACACACACACACACACACACACACTATTGTTGCTTTTTTATAATTAATGAAATACTCATAAATATTTTTACAATATAGTAAAATCACAAAGGTCAAAGTCTGATCTTTTAGAACTACTAGAGTTTCATCTTTAAAATAACAAATTTCTTTGTAACCTTTTCCTATATAGTTTATCTGACTCTTCCTCAACCCCCTCCTGTCTCTCATCTCTCCCAAATGTACTTAAACCCTTACTTTTAGTTCTATGTCACATATATTCTATCACCCTCCTGCCCCTTGAAGCCCCCTTTTATCCTCTCATAGACTCCTTTCTAGTTCCCACTCACTCTCAAATAAGTAGAAAAACTACAAAATTAAAAACCAAGGTATTCATATGAAAGAGAACATGTGGTATTTTTCTTTATAACCTAGTTTATTGATCTTAATATAATATTATCCAGGACATCTATTTCCCTCAAATGCCATGATTTATTTTTTATGTGTAGCTGAATAAAATCCCATTGTCTATATGTCCCATATTTTTACTATCCTTTCATCCATTAATGGACATCTAGGCTGATTCCATTTCCTTGCAGTTGTGAACAGAGCAACAGTAATATGGATGAGTCAGTATCCTTGTGGTAGGCTACAGAGGTCTTTTGAGTATATGCCTAGGAGTAGTATAACTCGATTACATGGTAGTTCTATTTTAAAATTTTTGAGGAACAACCAAACCAATTTCCATAATGGCTATACAAGTTTGTAAATCCACCAGCAGGGAATAAGTAAGTGTTCACCTTCCCTCACACCCCACTCAGCATATGCTGTCATTGGCTTTCTTGATGAAAGACAGTCTCACTTTTTTGTTTCATTTTTTTTTTGTTTTGTTTCATTGATACTGTCTCTCACTATCTATGCCTGACCAGCCTGAACTCACTATGTAGGTCAGGCTGGCTTTGAACTTGTAACAATTCTCTTGCCTCTGCTTCCTGAAAAAAATCATTTTAAGTATACACCACCACACCCATCTTCTGCTACAGGAAAACAAAGGGAAAACACCTCAAGATATCAGCATAGGAAAGGATTTTCTAAGATAAACCAGTAGGCCAGAAAATAATAGCAATTGTAAGCCATATACACACAACATGAATGAAATTATATCATTTGTAGGAAAATAGCTGAAGCTGAAGGTTATCATGCAAAGTGAAATGGTCCAGACTCAGAAAACAAATATCACATTGTTCCCTCTCATATTCAGGTTCTAGATTTTAAAGTATGCAAAAGATGTGAAAAATAGAAAGAGATACTTGGGATAAAAAGAGACCCCACTAGAAAGTATGAGAGCAGGGCAATTGAGAGTTCAAGTGGGTGAAGAAAATAACAGTACATGTTGTGATGATCAAGAGGTCATCACAAAACTGTCATTTTGTATAAGTGCATGCTAATAATAAAAATAAAAGAATAATTCCCTAGCTCATAAAGGGGAAAGTATTGAAAATTGGCCATGATACACATTCTCTACAGTACGAGATTTACTTTTCTAATTATGTTTAATTTAAGATATTGCTAAAAGCTTTTATGGCATAATAGTCCTAAGCCAAATAGAAAGAATAGTTTGTATTAAAGTGAAATAAAGTCTCATGAATTAAATGCTACCTTCTCTATGTAACACAAATGATAAGCAATAGGTAAAGTGAGCAAAGTGGGGAGAATAAATGGTATTTATATGATGATTTCTGCATAATAAACAATACTACATCTAGGCAGTTCTCTCATTCTTTTTATAAACTAAAGATAAAACTGGTAGTTGATGTCAAGAAGTATGCACACCAGAAATTTCTAAGGACATTTGTTTATTTTATATTTATAGAATAGGCAAACAGTGATATTTCAAAATTTAAACCTAGATCTAAATAAATCCTTACACAGAATGGCATTGAATGTAATGTAACAGGGAGCAAAGATACCATACTTTAAATTGAGAGTCT